AACTCCCTCCTGGTGACCCCCCCAGGTTTGGAACTCCCTCCTGGTGACCCACAGGTGTGGAACTCCCTCCTGGTGACCCCCAGGTGTGGAACTCCCTCCTGGTGACCCCCAGGTGTGGAACTCCCTCCTGGTGACCCCCCAGGTCTGGAACTCCCTCCTGGTGACCCCCCAAAAGTAGAACTCCCTCCTGGTGGTGCCGTTCGAGTCCAGGCTCTCCACCAGTGCTATTATATTTAGCTGCCTACTAAACACACCGATCTGTTTAAGTTAGATTTGCCACTAATTCGCTTTGCTCTTCTCTGGCTATTACTTTGCCGCCCTGTTCCTTCTTTATTATCCGTGTCCTTCTCATGCACGGTGCCCTACAACTCTCTTGTGAAAGGCGCCTTCTAAGGGTTAATTAGAATGACTAGCGCATAATGCTTTTCATGAAGTAGTTTCGACGAAAAAGATTGAGCAGTGTTTGACAGGGTACAAAAACAGATTTTGTTTAATTTTAAAAACATCTTATTTTACTCTTCGCTCGTGTTTTACTGTCACTTTACACGAAGCCGACACGAGCCGTGATTGTGATGAAGGCTGTTGGCAAAAACAGCTAAGAACGGGGGGACATTCGGGAAAGTTTATCACATTCATTACACATCTTTTTTTTCTGGCGTATGAACTTGATTGTGAAATATTTTGTGCCAAAATGTTGGTTTGTAGCAATGATAAAAAAACAGAGAAATGTTCCCTGCCATGAACATGTAATAATCAAACAAACTATTCTAATTGAATCTAAGATACTATCGCTGTAGGATTCTTTCCACCGTTTATAGGCTAGCCAGGCACCAAATCGAGTAAACATTCTTCAATGCTTGTGGGAGAACAGCGGCCTAATGCTCCGGTGCGAAAGACGTTCAAGATACTTACAACTATCCTATAAGTAAGCAAATAATAAAGCAGAGTCATTGTGTATGTACGTGGGTGTTGTATGTGGTGGCGTACACAGCACCATATTATTCTTATTATAAAATCATTAGCTTTATCAGCCATGATCCATCTACTGCTGGATGGAGCTTTCCCCATGCCCATTGAGAAAGAGGCGATAGGGAGCTTGTGTTGCAGGGCCCTGGCTCCAGCTGCCTCCACGTTAGTCGCGCCCTGTGAATGGAGTGGGTGTCGAGCCCAGGGCAATGGATGTGGACAGTGCCGCAATTTACTTGAACGCCGCCGTACGGTCGATTTCAACTCAATTGAATTAAATCCACAAATGTGTAATTCATTAATTCATCTTACATGTAAGCCATTGTTTTGTTCATCAAAGCATGTGGGAATGAGTTGTGCTGTGTTTTCAATTGGAAAGTATTGACTCCAAGCAACTTCTAACGTCGTGATGTGTCACGACTCTTGTGACCCCTCTCGATAGACCACACCACTTAGGACCAACAAAACGTCGATCATGCTGTTCTGCAACTTTGTTAGACTTAAACCATATTATTGTATATTACACGCATTTGTGTTAACTTCTATCACATTTTATCTTGGATTTATTTCTTGTCCTGAAATTCTGTAAATCCATATCCACAGTCTCACAGGGATGTGTCACCGTTTGACGAACGTCTGCAAGCTGCACATCATCACCATCACTGCAGTCGTCACAGCAATTAAACTCACTATGTAAGTGCGGTCCAGATGTCTTGTGACCCACAATTAATTAACCCCAAAATGTTTTCCATTGCACATTAATGTATGTTTTAAATGAACCATACTCAAAAATATATTACGTTTTAGAGAATGAATTGTGGTCACACGACATCTGGACCACTCTTTACAGTACATCTAGCATTCTTGGTTCCTAATTAGACACACAGTTAAAGTAATACCTGCCATTGTCCACTGGTCATTTGTGTGTTTTATTTTTCACCAAAAAGGCAAATGTCACTGTGGTCGGAGCATTTCCCCTTTAGTCCGAACTTCAGAGTTCTCTTCCCGCGTGTGCGCGAATTCAGTGAAGCCGCAGTCAGACAGTGAGCAAACCACTACCCTGCAGCTGGGACCAGGCCAACACGGCTCGCTCGCAATTGCCAAAATTCCAATCTATTTTTGGTCATGACGGCTGATTGCACACTGACACGTCAATAACTGTTGTTCTACAATGAAAAACGACCTTTCACAATGACTTTGACTTGTCAATGCACTGTTTACTCAGATGGGGTGGAGTGGTCACATAGTGATTCGGAATCAGAATTTGTATTTTTTCACCGGAGGAATCCTTTGAGCTATGAAGCTATTTTTTCACAGATGTCCAGTAGTGCGTGACACAATGAGTCCAACTCCCTGAAAATCTATTCCTGGCCATGGCGAACGGCAGTTGCGAGTGATGTTTGAATCGATCCGAGGCTCAGCCCTTTCCCTAACCCCCCGCACAGATGCTGGCTCACGTGGTGAGGCATGGTCAAAAACCCGCCATGACCCAACATGGCCTGGGGAGGTCTTCACCCAGAAGTAGATTGACAAAGGCCCATCATTATCGTTATATGGGAATATCCCAAATTATCTCGGTAACAGTAATAAAGCCAATATTGTTCTAAGCTACGGGGCGCATCTACAGACTCTTCAGAAAGAGAGCGCATATCACACCGACGTGCCATTATGAAAGAAACTATCAGGGGTGGACCGGGGAAAGAAATATGCCCTGGCCCAACTCAAATAACCACCACGATCAACGTCAAACGATACCATTTCAAGAAGCGTTTATTATTAGCATGTGTCCAATTTAAATCGCCCATAATGCGTTCGATCTCATTGGATCTCAGAAGCTAAGCAGGTTGGTGCCTGGTTAGTACTTGGATGGGAGACTGGCTGTGAGGATTCTCATCGAGCAAGCTAAACACTGTAAACACTGCGAACACTGTGGACACTGCCAACACTGTGGACACTGTAAACACTGCAAAGTGTCTGTACACACGAACATTTATATGAAAAACTGAGTTTGTGAGAAAAATTCTAATACAATTAAATGTATCAATCTAAACTCCGCAAAATAATACAGTAAATATAATACAATAAATATAACTGAACATTACACTGCACAACAACACACTTACACATGCGGAGTAAGTGCTGTTTACCAACAGTAAATGGACTTATCACGCGACATGTAAACACCAGCTTAACAACACACATCAACCCATCTCCTGAGCTCAGGAATTGAACAAAAACTGTTTACGTCAATTATTTGCCTATTTACTGTACTTATTTATTGTGTAAGCAGAGGCGTTGTGATTCAAATCTTGGATTTTGTAGAGGGTTCTCGAAATCAACAACTCGTTGTTAAGGTTCTTTATTACGCAAATATTCGCCAATGAAATGTGCACATTACAAAAACTGGAGACCCCTCTCAAGCCCCCCCTCCAAGCACGGAGAGACCCAGAGTGTGTATGGAGCAAGGGTCTTCTCTAAACATATTTGCGGTGGCGGCTGGTCTGCTTTATTATTATGACTACTACTATAGTACTAAGCTTGTTAAGCCAGGACAGCCTGAGTTTCAAGTCGGTGCTGATGAGCGGTAATAAGCACGAAACCGGCCTATCACTGTTTCACTGCTGCTGTCAGTAGGTAACATTTGCTCATATGTATTTTCATGGTGATCTTTTAAGGCAAGAAAATCGAAATTCAATTCTTCAGGGACTGCTGAACGGTTTTTGTGTAATCCAAAGTGGCTGTCTGTTTTTTATGTTATTGTTGCTTGTTCCTTGAACCCGGTGCCCGCCGCTGCATTCCTGGTTCCCACATTAGTGTTGATATTTTATTTAGAGTGTCGTCCTCGAAGGCGCCTGATTATTATTTTGTTTTCTTGGCAATGTTAATCATACCCCGAGGTATCACGTCGCAGGAGCATCCCAACTGCCATGAAGCATGAAGAGGCGTCTCTCGGTGTTCCACGGTAACTCCTCAGACGGATTTGAGTTGCGAGATTAGAATTGAAGGACATTACACCAGACAACTACAAATGTTGTAGCTGCAAAAATACAAATATCCCCCATTATAGCCTTAGCAGAATTTCTGGGACAAGTGCTGTTAACGAGCTCCTAATAAGACTGGCACGGCACACGAGGGAGTGGGTGACCAGAACCACTCCCTAATCCATTTCATTGTGCCGTGTGTATCATCTTCTTCATCAGCCATGATCAATCCACTGCTGGATGAATGGCCCACAGTGATTTATCGGTTCCACGTGCTGCGAACATGGAGGAAGCTCCAAAGTGAGCGCCGTGCAGTGAAATTGAAGAGCTCCGCTCCCCTAGATTACTTTGTTCCTCATTAGGGCGGTTAAAGTCGTAATTTTGCGTAACAATACAGGACTGGTAACCGCATGGAGAAACCACACGGTAAAACGCAGTGAGCGGTTTGCCACACTAACAGAATGTCTGCTAATACACACTGGTTTATTTATATTTAAAAAAATACTACATACAGCAAAATATAGCAATCCAGACGGCCGCCAGTCATACATTCCACGTGGACTGCATTTACAGATGGATGGGCAGGAGACCCGTGCAGTGACGAGCTGCATGGTTGAATTGCACTGCTATGATCCGACCTATACGCTACTGCCTTCATCAGCCAACATTGACCAGCTTGGTGAAGTATGGTTATACGTGAAATGTAACGTCTGGCACTTGAGCATTCATTGTACCAATCCTGACTGCTGATGAGACACCGCGTGTTGAAACTGGTGCTTTACTGAAACAATTCTGCTGACATTATTCACTCCCACAGGGTCGTGGAGCCGATTAGTTGTGTGCAGAATACTTGTGTGTTTATGTGGACACACGGGCGTACTGAAGGAGACATTGTCCATCATTTAACCTTTATAAAAACCTTTAAACGGCTCTTGTAAGCGAGATATCGATTATGGAATTGGATCGATCCTCACAATGGACACACGCACGAACCGAATCGTGGCAGAGAGGGAGGGTGGGGGCGGGGCGAGTGGCCGCGTCACGTGGTAGGGGTACTGCTATATAAGGCGCGCGTGAAGGCGGACACGGTCTCTTTGGCTCGGCACACTGCGACGTGGAGAACTTGGCTCTCTCATGGCCGACGACTCCATCCTCGTGCATCGCCGTGCAAGGCGCATCATCGGTAATTAGCGCGGTGCTCAAAGCGTTCACCTGGTTGTGCCAAGTGCGCGGCACTCGATATTGAAGTTACTTTTGTTGTTGTCGTCGTTCCATTGCGATGTTTATGCGAGGCCTTTTCTGTTAGGCCTGATTTATGGTGAGGGCGGGCGCGTGTCAACGTAACGCAGAATGTTAAAAGTTGGGCACCTATAATGGTGTTAACATCAAGCGAGTGCTACAATGATGACATTTATTTGCTACTCTCGACTGCCTGGATGACGATGCCTTTTAACCACCATTGTCTTGTCTGAGGCACTCCGCTTGATTTTTTTACTACTGGCCACATGGCTGAATATTTTTGTTAAACGAACACGCTGCAGAGTTTGACTGCAGCAGTGTCAGCTCGGTGTGCAGATTACCCGCCGCCAGTGTTAAAGCCCGGCAGCAACAAGCGGCACGAACAGCAATGCATGTGCGGAGTTGGACACTGTTCTAGCAACCCTGCCTTGTAATAAAATATATAAAGTAGGCCAACATTTTGGGGCATTTCCCATGAACTGCATGGCTCTGATAGCGCGGTGTCCATCGGCGCTTCCACCAGAGTTGGATTCCTGTCCCCATCAGCCCGCACCGAGCGGCGCGGGGTACGGCTCGTACCTACGCTGGCGTGGTGCGGCCTTCGTCGACCAGTGGATTGGCAAAGGCCTCAACATAACTACCGCACTATGCATTGCGTGCGTTAGACAACGTTTCGGGCACGTGGCCGCCTACAATAATGATGCCCTGAGAGTGAGCGGTTGTAATTGGTGTGTATGGTGTACACTGACCGCACCACGTGGGTCGGTGCAGCGCGACCTTGCACGTGGGTGCGCCATGGCCCACTTGCGCAGAGTACAGTACAGCTCCCACGTGTGGAGGCTTGTGGACTAACCTGGTCACCCGCTCTTTCAGGCCTGAGAAGAGGCAGGGCGACTTGATTGAAGATTTAAGGTGAGATTAAATTCGTGTTTTTGTTATTTTAAGTTGAGGTGCGACTACACACGTAGTAGTTTTCCAGTGCAGTATTGTAATATTACAAGTAATGCAAACTATGGGCTTCATCCCGTTGCACGGTTGCAAATGAGTTGGTGACGTCTTGACACAATACGTGGGCCTCGTTGCACGCGCCACGTTTGTGTGCCTTCGTCTCTGGGTGGAGCACGCGAGCAGTACGCCGTAATCATGTCGCAGTGCGCAATCGACTTGTGGTGAAGTGTGGTCAAACAGAGCCATGCTGCGTGGGGAGTAGGCCTTAAACATTTTATTGGCAGTGCTAGGGGGTGGTAAAAAAAATCACATTCAAAATGTTAGGACTCCTTTGTCGCAAGCTCGGACCCTTGCAACCTGGGACGTGATCGCTCTGCAGCTATCCAGCCGCTAGGGAGGGGGAGGCGTGCACTCAAAACTGTTGTGCACACGCGCTTGGCACGAGTAGGAACATTGCTACATGTGTAGTTGACTTCGCTGATGATGATGACTTTACAAATGGGAATCTCTCCTATCCGCTGTGATGGAATGTTTGTGTCTGAAACAGTTTTAAAAAATTACAACCAACATTAATTGTCAAGTCAAATCTGACTATCATGATGGGTTTTGTTTTCCGGCAGATGTACGGGTTTTTACCAAGACGCCCTCCGAGGTAAGGCGTAGCTTGTGTACAGCTGCACTTAAATTTGTCGGGGATACACGTGATGATTTCATAGTTCAGCTGAGTGCATCTTTGAAGAGATTTTGATTTGTCTTTCGCTCCTATCTGATATCCCTGCTACAGTTAGTCGTGGTCTTACCGGGTTAAAACTTTCTGACTGAAGTTCTGCACGTTTGCTTCTTTTTGACCCTCCAGGTACAAAAGGAGGATGCTTCAATTTGAAGGTAATTTTCTTTCCTGGTCTTTTATAGTTCCTGTGGTAAATGGGGCAGTTGTCAACTCTGTATTGCCTTTAGGCAACTGAAATGCCTCGCTTATTCGTATAATCAGGCGTGATTTTGTAAAGTTCAGTTTGTAGGTTATAATTTTCTACCGCCATTACCTTCATTTTCACTATCGATTGCACTTGGAATCTCAATCAGTATTGCGCTGTTAATTTTGCAGTTTGAAGATGTGAAGAACATCCTGCATTTGTAGCCCTAGTGGTGGCTTCAACGACCACAGGTAAATATGCCCCCTTTGCTCGTTAATGTATTTCTGTAATGCACAGTCTGTAGTGCCGATGATGATCAAAAACCAGGTCTCTGACATTGATGACAACATTTACACCTTCTGATGGCATGAATGTGCGTGACACGTGTTTTAGCGTGCTTGAGCAACTGGAGATTTCCAGAAAACCGATTTTAATCGTGTACATAGTACTTTGTACTCTTTACTCCCACCCATTGCCTTACGTTTTGGGTGTGACCTTTGATGGGTCAGTTTTATTGTTTTGAGTTGACTAATAATATTTGAGAATTTCAGGCCACTTACAATGTCTTGAACACTTATCTCCTTTCAGGTCCTGGTGCTTGCTGGATAGCATTTGCGTAGAGTTCATAAGCTCAAGGTTTGTTTCACCAGTTCAAAATATCATTTAACTGCCTTCCATTGTTTTTTGAAGCACATGCTTGCCAATGATGAACCCAGATTTCGCCATATGAATTCCATGATTCAAAAAAACACCGTTCCATTATTCCTGAGGCATTGTGTTGTGCTGTTAACGAGTATTTGGTGCTTTGGCACTAAGTTATCCAAAATCTCACAATTTGTTTGTGTTGCAGGTATGGAAGACTGAAGCAAACTCCACTTGAATGTGCTGCTGTTTCAACTTTACAACTGTTCATGAAATTGCACGTGGCTGGTTTCAATAATTTTTTTTGTCTTCGAACAAATAAAACTGATTTTTATACACGGTGTGCATTCTTGTTGAAACGATGTCAAAGGTGCATGAAAGCAATTGCGTTTTGCCAAACTATGCCTTGTAGGGAATAGCTGTAATCATAATTACAATCTTAAGGTGCACAGCATTCACTCGCAACGACTGGCATGAGGAACCGATGGACCGGCAGCTATGTGAGCTGGTTCCAAAAGGTTCTCCAAGCTCTGGGTCCTAGGGTCCTGAGGTGTTATGGCCAACTTTGTGCTTGGAAACTTAGAGAATCTACATGTGCAAACTATCCCATAGTCCTGGTGGGAGGTCCTTATTTTTGCTGTATGGTATGGCCTTCTCAAGTTAAGGTCGACAACCCTTGCCTAGGTGACTGGATTATAGGTCGACGCCTTTATGGCAAGTAATGTTCTGGTTGTGAGTCCTGGGAGCAGCTTTGGGGTATAGCCATTGGCACACTAATCAACTCATCCCAACAATTACAACTGCCTCCGTGAAAGATAAATAGGCTGGTTATTGTACAAAACTGTCGAGGCCTGGTGACCCTTTCAGAAACGTTGATTAACATGAACAACTTTCTATTACCTCAAGTGTGTTTCTTCAACATTTGAATTTGATAGTCGTTCTGAGAGCCAGTAACTTCATACGTCCAGCCAGTGTGAACTAACAAACGAGGTCCATTTTACCTGGTGTGGGAACTACCTACGTCAATTCGAGCCTTGCAGGTTGAGTAATCAGGGCCACAGCCATTGTACACCTGGCAGCACCCTGGAACAATTTTCAGCACTTATCAAACCAACGTTCAGATGCCGATTCATTTAAGTGGTATGCCAGGGTATTTACATATATTTGAAACACGAGGGGAGTCTTGGATGTAAAAAAACGTAGATTTTATTCATAAAAGGATATCGAAGTCGATGCTAACATTTGGGATGGTTATTTGTTCAACTGGGAAAGTCCCACTTTCAATACTAATTTAACGATGCTCAAGAGTTTGGCAATTTCTTTTGTAACATTTTTTGATGTGCGACTCAACCAGTGTTCAGAGATAACGGTCCACAGCACCGGAATGCTGCAGGGTGGAGGTAGTGGACATGGTGGTGGCCTTGTGTATATATGAATTCAGAAAGGGCCCAACCGACCGCATGTGAAATGAGGTGACGGATTAACGCTTCAGTGGGTGGTCCTGCAGCCAAAACAACTTGCTCCATCCTGCCAGTTTTGGCAGACCAAATCGTGTAAAAATTATAAAAGCCAATGCGTAGTTCAGGTAGAAACAAAACCACCAATAGTACAAATTAACTTTGGGAAATGAATGTTAAATGTGGCCTGTCGACTACAAGTAGGCCTTTAACTGAGGAAACGGTGTATCAAAAATACAACACGGCATCAGTAGAAGGGGCTGAGGAGCCAAACACCCTCGTTTCATTGTGCGTGTAACACATTGGCAAATATATTGAGATAATTGAATTTACCACTTTTAAAAGGACTTGAACCCTGGCGAAACCCCACCACTACAATTAACCCAAGCTCCAGTGATTTCCAATGCAGGGGATGACTGAATAAGCAATGCAACAAGATATTTTAATTAACATAGTATGTTCTTTGTAAGTGCTGTCATTTGTAATGATGGCACTGAAATTAAAGCCCCTGCCATGTAAATTAAAGGATTTTCCACTTATTCATTTGCACCAACACATGCACTTTGTACGCTACAGTACATTGCTTTACTTTGTAATGAAAGACTTCCACTGTAAAACCATAATGCACCGTGGATTAAGTGCATTAACCACACCGATAAAGAAAATTATAAGCAGAGTCCAAGTTATGAAATAGGACCAAATTCAAGAGTTCAGTTAAATTAAATACCCCTGTGGGTAAAATCAATATCACAAGGCAGGGTATAAGGGGGAGAGAAAGCAGTGCCCGCTGGTAGTCAAACAGCACTGCTCAGCCCCACTACTCAGATTTCAGATGAGAGATTTGGTCCACAAAAAAAGTGAATTTGTTCACTCTTAATTACAAAGTCCAAGATCACTCATTGTCATGGGTGATGTGGCGAACACCATGCAGTCAATGTTTCTTCACACATCAACAGACCAAACAATATTTTGAATAAATTACAATGAAATTATTCAGATTACTTGATGAAAATTTTGTCGTAAGCCAATTGACAGTTGTGGCTTCTTTGTGTATCGTGCACAAAAGACTGCCCATTTTAAAGTGACTCGAGTCATTTATTCTTTTGATCCTGCAGACGCAGCAGGATGAGTGCAAGGTCTGGGTCATTAGAGGGAGAGGAGGTCCTCGCCGGTGCAAGTCTCGCCTCCGCGTCGCTCCCGTCTCCGCCCAATTGTAAACTTGCCGAGTATTCCCACTCGTCCGCATAGGGCTCCTCTCGCCCAACCTCGGGGCCCTCCCTGGCAGCGGCAGTCGCCGCCGCCGCTCCGTGGGGCTGCTGCTCGGCCCTCGCGGCTGCGCGCGGCAGGGCCTGGCTCTCCGGGCTGCCGGGGGAGAGTTCCCCGGCAGCCGCCCCTAGGGTGGGGATCGAGGCAAGGTGCTGCGAGTGCGTGTCGTGGAACCAAGCCAGCAGGTTGTCGAGCAGGTCCGAGCCGCCCCCGGCCGCCAAATCTTCGGCCACCGTGGCCGAGCCGCCCAGGGAGCCCTCGGCACTGCCAAACTCCAGGCTGTAGTCGTCCCGCACGGCGGCCGCCTCGGCGGAGGCGGCGGCGGCCTTTATTTCTGTCCACACGTGGGAGGGGGTAGAAGCCGTGGTCTGGGGCCAGGGCATAGAGGTCAAAGGGAACGAGGAGGAGAGCCGCGCGCCGCCGTCGGGCCAGGTGTCCGTGCCGTCAGAGGGGCCGGGCGACGCGGAGGGAGAGAGCCCTGGTGGGGCCGGCGGGCGCGCAGGCTCCAGCTCCTGCAGGGACAGCTGGATGGCCAGCAGCATGTCCGCGTCCTCCTCCTCCAAGAAGCCTGGAACCTGTTTGCACGAAATGCAATTCACGACGCAACTCAATCTGGAGAGGCTCAGCGGCAGAACGGCAACATTTAGCAAATCATCTCCACGTACGCTCCGCTACTTGAACCAATCGCAACTTAAATTCAATTGAAATGCGGGGCGCCTTTGTGAAACCGATCAGAAACCTGATTTTATTCAGCAGCCAAAAGCTCAATGAGAGAAAAACCTCTCTTGGGGAAAATAAATCTGCAAAAGAATGGAAGAGAATAGGAATTGATGTGAATATGAGTCGTAACTAAACATAGCAAACATGCAAATTGGAAATATACTTATCAAGATAGAAAATTCTTTAAATTCGAGAAAATATATTTGATACCATACAATAACAAGATTATAAGTAAAACACAACAGACTTATGAAAGTATAATGGATATGGTAAAGAACTAACAGTACATTAACAAAAATAAAAAACTAATATTTTGGTTTTATAGCTTTTGAATGGCCTGATTAGGTGTTTGCTAACAGTAATTGCCTCTACAGTCTATAAGGCTAAATAGATCTAACGTTATGATCTCATATCACTACAGTTTGTGTCATGTGTTATGTAACAAGCTGATGTGTCAAATAAAGACTCGATTCGAGTGAACAGTGGACGAGTTTAAATGCTGGATTTTACTTGAGTCTCACATGTGGACGAAACGGTGAAACACACTTTCTTTGTGGTTTGCCACATTGCTGTGATCGAAACAAGGCACCATTATTGCCACGAATGCAACACTGAGGAAGACACGGCATGTGGAACGTGTCGCCCAATGTGCCTCTGCTCCAACGAGTGTAGAAAGACGCTCGTTTGCATTTACGGCATTTAAATAGTGGTGAGAATTCCACATCACCCTGGCGGCGCCGGCATCTCAAGGACATCCCACAACACGATACTAATTTTATCGACCCCCGCAGAGATGATGGGCCAAGTAGGCAGGTGCGTACGTGTGAGCGGCGCAGGCGCGGCAGGCTGGGTGGGGAGTACTCCGGCAGAGAGAGGCTGCTCACGTGGCTGAATGAGCGAGAGCTCTCCATGCGGCGAGCCCTCCGTCCACTCAGAGGCGAGTCTGCGGTGCGCCACAAAAGACAGAGATCCCCCGTGCAGCCGTTAATAGACTGATGGGGGTATACGGTGTTAGCAGGCAATTTTGAAGGCTGGCACTGTACACGGGGTGGCTGGCCAGCACCACGCCCGGCCACCTTTGCCCAATGCTGATATTTACACACACCGCACCAGGCATTGAACTCGCATTGCCGGGTTCGTAGCGCGAGGCGCTATCCACGACGCTGCCGCTCCCCAATCCGGTGCACCACGCGCACACGTGTATCTGGGGAGCTGCACATGTACAATGCAGTGATGGGTGCGATGGAGAAAACATGCAACATGCACACAGATGCAAGCAAATGCACAATTTAGTCAATCGTACGGAATATATCATAAGCTCCACGTTACGAAACTGCGTGTATCATACGTGACGCAACATTACTATAACCCAAAGCTTGCTAATTTAAAATGTTTAAGCAATGATAAAAAAATCAGTTAGTCTGGAGCACAGCAATTTTTATGAATTATAGCCTGTCAAACTAAATGGGTCAAACAGTTCAATGTCACATTCCTATTAGCTTCTGCAACATTGGGGCACGTGGCAAGAAGAGGGAGCTTCTCTTGCCGCGACATGGCACGCGAGGGATACATGTGCAGCCTCGGCCTACCGGTGGACGACTCCTCGCGGAGCCCTGGGTCAGTGAGGTGGCTGTGGCTGCTGCGAGGGTCTCCTCTTCGACTGCGACGCCTGCGCCGCTCCAACACCTCCTCGTACTCCTGCGTTGACAGAAGCCGGCGGTCAAGAGCACGCACACACAGTCACGGCCACACACTGAAACAACAAGAATAATCATCCACGCATAACCTACACAGACTGTCGGGTAGCGCACGCCCATGATGGCCAACACAGGACATGAGGGGGTGGTGTAGCAAGCACCACGCTCGGCCACCTTTTCTCTTCCGTGCTGACGTTTGTACATCGCACCAGCTTCTCATCATTGCCAATCATTCCACAGTGCAGGGATAATTCAGACAGATTGATGGTATTTTGTTGATTCTGAGGTCCCAAAAGCATCATCTCTGCTTTATTACAATTTAACATCAACATTATTTTTCACGACGTCGTGGTTTTGCCCCCATTCAGACAAAGACATTGCTTGCATTCTCCAGACTTCTACATCGCCACGGATTGCTTACGTTGGGAGCGTGGAGCGCGCGGAGCGCGTGGAGCGAAACCTCAGACATTGTGACGAACAACACGGGGCATGACGAGAACACACGAGAATGAAAATCTGGAGCATAACCATGGGAGGCGTTGCAAGCCGTGTATGATTGAAGGTGTCCATGTGTGACTGACGGTGTGAAACACCTCTGGAGAAGAGAAGCCCAGGAACTCCCACTCCCACGGCCGCCCAACGAGCCTGTAAAGGGCACACGCGGAGATGACCGAGAACGCCCTTAACGTCTCGCGTACATCATTGTACTTAAAACTACACAACGCAGCAGAGAACAGCTCACGTTACAATGAACAAGGTGTTTTTTTGTCGCAGAGGAAAATAAAACGCGGTGTTCATTCGTCCGCATGTGCCTGTATGCGTCTGCGCACGCAGCGTGACTTTGTGTGCGTGTAAAATGGCTGCGGTGCCCACGTGTTCCATGTACGCCCGGTGTGCACGCAGCCCGCCCGTGCGTGCCCGCACGTTCCCACGAGCGCGCGGCCTGCCTCCGTGTTGCCGCGTGCGGCCGCGTGTCCGCAGCCTGCCCGCGCGCGGCCGCGTGCGTCGCCTCGCGCCTCGGCGTGCGTTCGTGCCTGCGAGAAGACGGCGGCGAGTCCGGCGGGGCCACGCCCCTCGCCACGGACGCCAGGAACTCCTGCCGCTTCTGCTGCGCGAGGCGCGCGGCGCGCACGATCTTCTGCCGCGGCGTGCGCAGGTACGGCCGGTTCACCTTCTGCGCGAGGTCTTCCGTCAGCATCTCCAGGTCCATCTGCACCGGCGGCGGTCAGGAGGCACGGTGCTCACGGATGCGGACGCTGCGTCACGAGGGATTATGCCAGCCCCGGGGGAGGCAGCGGCCCAAGGAACTCGAGGCCCATTATGCCCAGCAAGTTACGTCAAGAAACAGGATCTGCGATTTGAAGCTTTCGTGACTGCAGGAATCCGTACACTTTGGTGCTTTCGGTAAAGTCACGTCGGTAGAAAAATAATAGAAACTGCTGGTTTTTCTTGCTGTGGTTGTCCCACCTGATGACGATTGCTTGTGTTGCGATCGAAACGTCGTGGTATATTATTGTTTCTACCTACGTGACTTTACTGAAAGAACAAAAGAGTAAAGAAACAGGATATACGACACCCATTAAATTGCTGTTAATGATGAGGTCTGAAAACCTTTCATAGTTCCCTGTAATTGGATGCTTTGACACTTCACTAGATATGAACTATATTCTTGGTTCTTTCGGTAAAGTCATGTAGAAGGGAAACTGCAACACAAGCAATCATCACACAAGCAATCATCATCACCTGATGATGATTGCTTGTGTTACAGTCGAAACGTCGTGAGAATTTTAATGTTTTATATTTTTATTATTTTATTGTTTCCCTTCTACGTGGCTTTACCGAAAGAACCAAGAATATGAATCACTGCAGTCATGAAAGCTTTAAATCAAAATCTAAATATAAACTGTCGTGAAAGCAACAGGTGTCGGCTTTGGTCTTTTCATGCAGAAAAGATGAACAATAAAAAAATGTTCCAGAACATCATTTGTCCTCTATTCCAACAAAATCCCTCGCCTGCAAAACTCCTGTAAGCTCATTAACTTATTATCTCATTAAAATAACAGTTTTAGCACTTGTAGAAATAAAAAAGAACACAACTTGTAATTGTATGAAAAGGAGTCAAAAACATGATTACCAAGGGGCACACCAGCGCATGCGTTACACACGCGTGCGTTACACACGCGTGCGTTACACACGCGTGCGTTACACACGCGTGCGGTGGGCACCGCCCACGGTGCTTGTGCCACACCTGCATGAGCTCAAAGATGTCCTTCTGCGTGCTGTGCGGCTCCAGGAAGTAGCCGTAGCCGTAGGAGCCGCGCAGGACCCGCCTCGTCTTCAGGAGCTCCTGCACCGCGTGCTCGATGAAGCTGGTGTCCACGCCCTCCACTGCACACACAAAGACCACCTTCGTGTTCGTGCGCAAAATTTTGATTGAAACAAGTAGGCCACTGTGTGCTGCCATCAGAGTCCAAATGTGGCAAATTTGAACATGACCCACGAGTTACTCACATGGGGTGGGTTACATATGGTACGAAAGAAGTTCAACACACACAGAAACATTATTTGGCCGGGTCAGAGGTGGACTTTTAAGATAAAAAAAATAAACATCTGGCTTTTGCATACAGGTGCATGTGGATTCATGTTATGAATGTCATGGCAGGATTAGATTAGCAACGTGGACGTTCAGACCAACCACGGTGTATCCTAATCTACCCCCCCCCTCTGCTCCTCCTCCTTACTGTTCTCCAGTGCACTCCGCAGGATCTCCATCTTGGCTCGTGCCGTCTGCAGCAGTGGCAGCTCCAACTGCGAAGCGGCACGGGCGGGCAGAGTGAATGCCTACACCGGCACTAACAGACATGCGCTCGGGTTGTCCTCTAAGGCAAAGACGTTGCACTGAGAAGTGGAGAGATGCACGACGCTTTCACTTTCTCTGGCAATAAGTTGGCACTCTTCTGCTGTTCTCTCTCCACGTAAAACTGCCACGTGTCACTGCCACAACAGAATTTCCTGATGTGTTGATGTGGTACACACATCAGCACGGGTCAGCTGTTTGTGCTTTAGAGTGTTCAGCTGAATCCCTGTACCAGCCCTTGCAACGAGTTTCCCAATCTGGTTTGACACGACCCCCATAACAACATCCGACTAAGCGTGCTCGCTATAAATGCACACAATACAATACAAACGATTGACAATCATATTTTTTATATTCATTGAAACACATGTTAAATATAACTCCAGCTCTGATTGTTTCCTTAATCTGTATGTTTTTTTTAATATCTCGTCATTTCTCCAAATGTGTCCCCTTGTGTTGCTTTTGTCATTTCCCTTGTTTCTCCAAGTGTTAATGTTTTAGTTGCATAAAACAGTGCATCATTCTGACTTTATTATGGATAATGGTCGCGAAAGCCTACGTGCTAAACGGACACTGAAAAGACGGTCAATGCGTTCGTTTTCTCTGGATTTGACTTTTGTAATTCACCGTCTGCCGGCATGCCCCTTGGACTGTTCAGCCGCCTGCAACGCGTGCACAGAACGCGGCCGCCAGGATCGCCGTGCGAGCGCCTCCCGGTGAACGCACGGACCCCTGTGCTGGCCTCCTTCCACTGGCTGCTGCTCCGGATTCACGCAGAGGTCAAGATTCTCCTCCTCCTCCTCACCTACAGGGCTCTGAAGACTGCTGCTTCCTCACATAAGACAGGAGCTCCTTCACCCATACGTTTTAACAAGAGTACTTCGGTCTTCCGAGTCTGGCCTGTTATGTGTGCCGAGGTCACATCTCTGTGGGCCCCAGGCTATGGAATTCACTTCCACTGCAGGCTCGCTCCGCTGACTCCCCCCCCCCCGCTCTTATTTAAATCGCGCATTCAGAGGCAACTTATTTTCAAGGGCTGTTTCTGTTTCTTTGATCCTCTGTTTTAGGATCGGACTTTAATGGAGTGAGCCCACGTGTGCGTCTTGTACAGCACCTCGTGACCTCCGCGTGAAAGGTGCTTGAAAAGCGCAAATTATTATTATTATTAAGTGTGTACCAGGCAGTTGTGTTGTGCCAAACCTTGTAACTGTGCTCATGGTTTTTGAAGCGGCTGTAGTAGTGCATAAATCGATCAAGCTCCTGGAACTTCTTGTGCTTCTTCTCAGCCTGAACACAAAAGCAAATGTCAACCATCGTAGACAAGATTCCTGTCCATCCCAAAGCCGAAATAATAACCTTCAAATTACTCAACAGGGATTACACGTACCAAACAGTGAACACTTGGCAGGACCCCCTTGAAAAGTGTCGAGATTCAGCAAGGCTTTCCAGGGTAGTAATAATGATAAAACAATGATATATGTGTGTATGTGATATACATATGTGTGTATGTGATATATATGTGTGTGCATGTGATATACATGTGTGTATGTGATATATATATGTGTGTATGTGATATACATATGTTTGTAAGTGATATATATGTGTATGTGATATATACATGTGTCTATGTGATATATATATGTGTGTATGTGATATATATATGTGTGTATGTGATATATATGTATGTGATATATATGTTTGTATGTGATATACATGTGTGTATGTGATATATATATGTGTGTATATGATATACATATGTGTGTATGTGATATACATATGTGTGTATGTGATATATGTGTGTATGTCCATAATAAAGGTTTATATATATGTATGTGATATATATATGCGTGTATGTGTGGAGTGGTTAAATGCCCCGCGCAGCGCGTGCGTGATGTCACCTCGTTTGCCAAGTCCCGTGACGAGTCCTCCACGGCCTGGATGACCTATATATACGTGTGTGATATATATATGTGTGTATGTGTGGAGTGGTTAAATGCCCCGCGCAGCGCGTGCGTGATGTCACCTCGTTTGCCACGTCCCGTGACGAGTCCTCCACGGCCTGGATGACCTCGTAGCGCGTGCAGCGGTAGTAGCCGCCCGTGGATGAGCTGTGCTTCTTCCACTCCTCCAGGCAGATCCAGCAGAAGTCGTGCTTACACTGCCCAGCAGAGACCGACAACCCTCCCTCAGCACCCATAACTAGAGACAGCTGTCGCTGTTTGAACTGCCCGGGAACACAAGAGGCATGCGGCCAGAACTATTGCCCGTTGATGTCGTCAACACACTGCACCGGATATTCACGTTGGTCTGAGCTGGCTTAATAGGGGCCCAGGATCTCTCTGACTGTCCACTGGACTTTGACATGGCAAGAATTATAAGCTAGGATCGCAAATTGTAGTGAAGTATGCTAATCACTACATCACATCTCCTCCACACACATGCGTACATTATTTCTGTCATGAGGTGCACACCAAGAGCCAGAAATGGAAATAAATGGATACCAATAATTTAGAGAGGGCTGGAATCCAATAGAGTCAAACTCCTCAAATCAATAATCTTCTGTTCTGCAAATCTTATTATTTGCAGAACCCAGAAGGTTCTGCACCCAGAGGGTTCTGCAATTCTTTACATTACTCATAGATTCCCCAAGGATTAGTGGATTAATCTGATGATTAATCAGTTTTAAACTGCATATTGTCTCTAGAAAGTACAGAAGAAATAGCGCTTGGATTGGATTGAACAGCCATCTTACACTGATACAAAGGACCACGACAAAAAAAAGAGATTAACAAAAATTGGGACATTGTGATAAACGAAAATCCAGTTTCATGAAGTATATGGCCAATGACTGGAATGAGCCCCCCTGTAACATAAATGGTGGATTTTCCAACCAACATGACTATATCTAAATAAAAAATATTCATGATAAGCTTCACCTACGAAAACTTGTTGTTTTTTATACGTGATTTATTTTTATAATGCATTGCCGTTAGCCACCGAAAAATTGCCCACTGTTGACTGAAACAACAAAATGAAACAAAGTTTCCCAAGTGGTGAAAAAGTGTCAATGTTATTGGTGGTACTCACCTTAGTACATTGCATATGGTTGCACCCATCGTTCTTCTGAATAGGAGACTTGCAGCTGGGGCATGGCTTCGAGTTGGAGATGAGCCAGAGGCAGTTGGCAGCATCCTCCGCTGCAACGCTCACGCCGCTCACTACAACCAAAGACAAAGATCCCCCCCGAATATCTTTAAACAGACTGTTGGGGCAAGCGCTGTTAACGAGCACCTATGAAGGCCGATACGGCACACGAGGGGTTGGAGTGGCCAGCGCTACGTCTGCGTGTTCGCGTGGCTACAACCACATGAACATGCAGACACCCACAAACACAAGGCATAAATAATAATGTAGTATATTTGCTATGAACGCTATTTGAAAACGCAAGGCTATCATGAAGGCGCTATGTTTCACAGTCGGCAGTCGTTTCACAGTCGGGGGCAATGTTACAAATTTGGACCACGATGCCAAACACAATCACCTGCTCTATAGTGAATCAGATGGCACATATTTTACGGTTCATACACCTGCAGTAATAACCAGGGTGGACGGTCAGATTCAAAACTCGAACCCCTGCAATCAGCGATGAACGTGCTACCACAGGACCATGTCACCACCATGTGGCAGAACGCAAATCCAATATGCACAGATACACGAGTACACAGGGCAGCAACAAAGACACGCACGTGGTGGACGAGCGTGTACAATAATAATAATAATCTAGGGTACAGAATCTGAGTCTGTAGCATATTCCCTTGAAATGTGCAAAATGAAGGGCAGGACAGCTTTTTTCCAACAGGAATGTTTCATTCATCCCAGAGGCACAGAGACGGTGACTCTAGATCATGGGTGTTTGGCCTGGTGCGTGTACTCACGCTCCTCTGGCTTCATGTCCACGATCTTTTGAAGCCACTGTTTCCAGGTGCCACAGTCGCACGGCTCGTGGGCCTCTCCCAAACACTCCCTTCGCACGCGCAGACACACACCACACACGCACCATACACACCACACACCACACACACACCATACGTACACACACCACACACACGGGTAAGGCCACAAGCACATATGCTCTCTCCCATAGGTGGTTACAGATACACTCACAAACATAGTACCAGATTTATGGAACCATATAAATCATGATTTTTTTCCATAATTGACAATTAGCATATATACACAATTATCAAAGCCTATGACCAAATCACCCGGAATGCACTCCATCTGCCCAAAATCTTAGAAGCTAAACTTGGTTGAGCTCAAGTAGAAGCCTGTGCAGCTGATATTTAAGGCGTACACTGGCCATCGCAACATCCAACCATGGTCGGTAATGTAGCCTGTTGTTGGGTCAAGCATGCTGGGAGATGTATAGTGCACAAAAAGCAAATTAGCAGAGCCAGGTAACAGCAGAGCCAGCTCTTCCTCGGCCACAGAACAGCTGTTAGAAGAGTTATTTTATGGCGACAAAAGGGCTGCGGAGGGCTCAAGGAAGGCTCTTTTCTCCTCCGCCAGGCAACACGTTACCATTGTTCAACAGGTCACATACAGTGAGGGAAAAAAGCATTTGATCTCCTGCTGATTTTGTACGTTTGCCCACTGACAAAGAAATGATCAGTCTATAATTTTAATGGTAGGTTTATTTAAACAGTGACAGACAGAATAACAAAAAAATCCAGAAAAACGCATGTCAAAAATGTTATAAATTGATTTGCATTTTAATGAGAGAAATAAGTATTTGACCCCTCTGCAAAACATGACTTAGTACTTGGTGGCAAAACCCTTGTTGGCAACCACAGAGGTCAGACGTTTCTTGTAGTTGGCCACCAGGTTGGCACACATCTCAGGAGGGATTTCGTCCCACTCCTCTTTGCAGATCTTCTCCAAGTCATTAAGGTTTGGCAACTCAACCTTCAGCTCCCTCCACAGCTTTTCTATGTGATTAAGGTCTGAAGACTGGCTAGGCCACTCTAGGACCTTAATGTGCTTCTTCTTGAGCCACTCCTTTGTTGCCTTGGTCGTGTGTTTTGGGTCATTGTCATGCTGGAATACCCATCCACGACCCATTTTCAATGCCCTGGCTGAGGGAAGGAGGTTCTCACCCAAGATTTGATGGTACATGTCCCCGTCCATCGTCCCTTTGATGCGGTGAAGTTGTCCTGTTCCCTTAACAGAAAAACATCCCCAAAGCATATTGTTTCCATTTCCATGTTTGACGGTGGGGATGGTGTTCTTGGGGTCATAGGCAGCATTCCTCCTCCTCCAAACATGGCGAGTTGAGTTCATGGCAAAGAGCTCCATTTTGGTCTCATCTGACCACAACACTTTCACCCAGTTGTCCTCTGAATCATTCAGATGTTCATTGGCAAACTTCAGACGGGCATGTACATGTGCTTTCTTGAGCAGGCGGACCTTGCGGGCACTGCAGGATTTCAGTCCTTCACGGCGTAGTGTGTTACCAATTGTTTTCTTGGTGACTATGGTCCCAGCTGCCTTGAGATCATTGACAAGATCCTCCCGTGTAGTTCTGGGCTGATTCCTCACCGTTCTCATGATCATTGCAATTCCACGAGGTGAGATCTTGCATCGAGCCCCAGGCCGAGGGAGATTGACAGGTCTTTTGTGTTTCTTCCATTTGTGAATAATCGTACCAACTGTTGTCACCTTCTCACCAAGCTGCTTAGCAATGGTCTTGTAGCCCATTCCAGCCCTGTGTAGGTCTACAATCTTGTCCCTGACATCCTTGGAGAGCTCTTTGGTCTTGGCCATGGTGGAGAGTTTGGAATCTGATTGATTGATTGCTTTTGTGGACAGGTGTCTTTTATACAGGTAACGAGCTGAGATTAGGAGCACACTCTTAAAGGGAGTGCTCCTAATCTCAGCTTGTTACCTGTATAAAAGACACCTGAGAGCCAGAAATCTTTCTGATTGAGAGGGGGTCAAATACTTATTTCCCTCATTAAAATGCAAATCAATTTATACAATGTTTGACATGCGTTTTTCTGGATTTTCTTGTTATTATTCTGTCTCTTACTGTTAAAATACCTACCATTAAAATTATAGACTGATCATTTTTTTGTCAGTGGGCAAACGTACAAAATCAGCAGGGGATCAAATACTTTTTTCCCTCACTGTAGTGCTGGTGAGACTCGGGAGACTTGAAACCAGTCCATTTGGGTTGATTAAACATATATTGGTGCTGTAACATTGGTCTAAATGGCCAAAAACCTGATTGTCAAAAAAATAATGTTTACGTGTGGTAAGAAACCTGTACTATTTTTATTCTTGGTTCTTTCGGTAAAGTCACGTAGAAGGGAAACAATAAAATAATAAAAATACAAAACAATAAAATTATCACGACGTTTGGACTGCAACACAAGCAATCGTCTTCAGGTGTGAAAACCACAGCAAGAAATGTGATTGCTTGTGTTGCAGTCGAAACGTCGTGAGAATTTTATTGTTTTATATTTTTATTATTTTATTGTTTCCCTTCTACGTGACTTTACCGAAAGAACTAAGAATATGAATCCCTGCAGTCATGAAAGCTTTAAATCAAAATCTGTATTATTTTATTAGATACAATCCATCACAAAGGGACATATAGTAAAGTACGTCTACAAGGAGCATGACCTTATCCTTATCTTACCTCCTCGCTCCTCCTCTAATCTCTCTGCAGCCCAGTGATCAAACACATCTGCTGAGCAGGAGTCTAAGTGATGGAGCAGGTGATGATCAAGAAACAGGTGAACACTATTTTCTGGAGGAAACATCACAGCCTTGTAACTCGTGACCTTTAACATCATGACTGTTTCCCGGTCATACATTCAACCAGCCTGCTTGCATCAAAGGGGCTTGTGATGCCGCACAAGACTTCCCACGCACGGCGACACACTGGTGCCATTCTGGCTCTGGTCCAGGGACTAGGAACTGCTCATAGAAACGTGGCTTTGGGTAATGGCAAAGCTCAGCATTATTATTATTGTTCTGCTTGTGTACCCAGGAAAAGCTCACCGAGTCCCAAGCTTCATTTTCAGGAGGGTCCTGCCTTGTTTTCACAGTCGGATACGATGTTGCTATGTACGGTCCCAATTGAGCAATCTGCAGTGTCATTTTTCAGCATGGAGATGTTTGGCCAAAACCAGTTACAATGTACGTTTTTTTTGCTGTAGGCAGAAATCGAAAAACCCAGAAGAAATTACGTGACTTTACCGAATATAACCAAAGAGTATGGATCCTTGCAGTCACGAAAGCTTCAAATCTAGAACCCAGAAGAAACCCGTGCAGAACAGAGGGAGAACATACAATTGTACACAGAAAAGCGACTGAGTAGGGAGTTGAACCCAGGACTTTCTTGCTGCGCGTCAAGAGCGCGTCACCCCGCCGCCCCGCCTGGGGTGCCCCCCGCGCATACCAGCAGAACGTGTGTCCGCTGCCGCAGTCGACGGCGGTGGGGGTGTGGGCACGCGCGGCTGAGCCGCCCGCGGCGCCGGGCAAAGCCAGGCGCACCGCCTGCTCGCAGCGGGGCACCGGGCACCACCGGATGCTAGGGTTGGTGTCCACGAACGCCTGCCAAGCAAGGGTGGCACGGGGAAGCGGTGGAGCGGCACACACACACACACGCGGAGCAAGCGTCACGTGCGCACAAGCGTTATTTATTTTCTTTAGAATTGATTTTTGTGTTTAGTTTCTTGTCTTTCCCCCGTACCTCCGATCAGCACGGTTAGCCATGTACGGTGTGAAAGAAGTTCAACATACATACTTCAATGAGCACAGATCTCAGTGCTGAGATCTCTGCAATAGTGAACCTGGTGTATTGGCTAATCCTAGTTGATACCAACTGCCTAGGAGAAAGAGATTATTCTGGCTGCTAGTGCACTGCGAGTGAAGTACCTTGATGTCAAACTGGAGATATCGGCGCGCCATCTCTCTGCACACCAGCACCTCGATGGTCTCAATGGGCACGAGCGAATAGCAGTCATAGGCTGGGCAGAGGATGCTGTGCGCCTTGCCCTCCTGGATCTTCATATTCAGGTACCTAAGACAACAGCACAGAATGACAATACAATGTCAAGGTTGGAAACCTCAACCTCAAAATTCCAAACGATCCTAAGTCGGCGCTATTTAGTGCCTTTCCCAGAGTGGCTCGTGAAGGGGCCACGGCAAACACTTGTGTCGGTTACTGGCTCGTGAAGGGGCTACGGCAAACACTTGTGTCGGTTACTGGCTCGTGAAAGGGCTACGGCAAACACTTGTGTCGGTTATTAAGCTCGTGAAGGGGTTACGGCAAACACTTGTGTCGGTTACTGGCTCGTGAAGGGGCTACGGCAAACACTTGTGTCGGTTACTAAGCTCGTGAAGAAGTTACGGCAAACACTTGTGTCGGTTACTAAGCTCGTGAAGGGCTACGGCAAACACTTGTGTCGGTTACTGGCTCGTGAAAGGGCTACGGCAAACACTTGTGTCGGTTACTAAGCTCGTGAAGGGGTTACGGCAAACACTTGTGTCGGTTACTAAGCTCGTGAAGGGGTTACGGCAAACACTTGTGTCGGTTACTAAGCTCGTGAAGGGCTACGGCAAACACTTGTGTCGGTTACTGGCTCGTGAAAGGGCTACGGCAAACACTTGTGTCGGTTACTAAGCTCGTGAAGGGGTTACGGCAAACACTTGTGTCGGTTACTAAGCTCGTGAAGGGCTACGGCAAACACTTGTGTCGGTTACTAAGCTCGTGAAGGGGCTACGGCAAACACTTGCGTCGGTTACTGGCTCGTGAAGGGCTATGGCAAACACTTGCGTCGGTTACTAAGCCCGCGTCATCTTGTGTTGGTTACTAAGCCTGCGTCATCTTGCAAATGAGCAAATGTCACTGCTGGGTTTCCCACTGTCTTCATCCCACACCTGTTTGACATCGATACCCTTTGTTAAAGTTCATTAAAATGTATGTATTCTTAACGATTCCCACCAAAAAAATATCATTTAGGATGTTATCTTCACTCCGAGTCCACCCCACATCAGTGACCGTGCAGAAATGAGTTAAAGTCCACTTACTCCTCCCAACACTTCTTACAGAAGAGATGCCCGCAAGGGACATCCACAGGATCAGACTCGGGCATCCGTCCCAGGCAGATCTCACACTGCACAAACAAAAACACAACAAGGATCCAACTCAGCCCCAGGGTAGATGCTGTGAGTACCTATTAAGGCCGGCACGTCAACACTACGCCCGGCCGCATTTCTCTCCCCAATAGTGACTTTACACGTCGCGCCAGGTACTCATTTGAGGCCTAGATGAGCTAGGGGGGGGACCAGAATCGGTTCAATAGCTAACCACTACACTGCCACTCCTCACTACCGCTTGTGTAGTACATAAATATACATTGACGGTACACCGCTGCTGTAAAAGAAAGACTTGGCGTGACTGCGCATTGCTACATTGTTCATCAGGGCATGTCCTTGCCTCTGAGCGCGCAAGTGAGCGCCCCCCCTCGCCTACCTTCAGCTCTCTCGCCGCGCTCGTGCGTTGCGTCACGAGCGATTCGCGCGCCCCTACCGTGCTCAGCCCGTGTCGCAGGTCGCCGGGCGGGGTGATGGGCGAGCGCAGGGGCGGCCGCGAGTCGGGGATGGTGCCCCAGCTGTTCTGCCCGGTGGGGGGTGGCGGAGGAGGCTGCACCCCCGAGCGCTGGCAACACTCGTCAGAGTTCAACATCCACGCCTCTAGCAGCCGCTCTCGGTCCCAGCCTGGGGAGCGCGCACGCCACCAAACACAGAGCTCCACACCACGTAGCCTTGAGCAGGCGGCCGTCGGCGAGCGCTTATTAAGGGCCAGTACAGCACACAAGGGGGGTGGAGGCCAGTACCATGCCTGGCCACCTTTGCCTCCCCAAGGCTGTTTACATACTACACCAAATATTCATTTGAGAGCGAGTCAACACAGGGGAGGCCCAGGAACAGTTGGGATATGGGTGACTGATGTTAGCCGTGAACAGAAACAGGACTCGGAGCATGGTGCGCTCACCACTGCACTACCGCTCCACTGCTGTAGGTGCACCGGCAACACCACAGCACAGACACATGCTGGCACGAGTAGGCACCCACCAGCACAGACACATGCTGGCACAAGTAGGCACCCACCAGCACAGACACATGCTGGCACAAGTAGGCACCCACCAGCACAGACACATGCTGGCACAAGTAGGCACCCACCAGCACAGACACATGCTGGCACAAGTAGGCACCCACCAGCACAGACACATGTAGGCACAAGTAGGCACCCACCAGCACAGACACATGTAGGCACAAGTAGGCACCCACCAGCACAGACACATGCTGGCACAAGTAGGCACCCACCAGCACAGACACATGCTGGCACAAGTAGGCACCCACCAGCACAGACACGTGCAGGCACAAGTAGGCACCCACCAGCACAGACACAGGTTGAAACAGCTTTGGCAGCAATATTTACATGCGCATAGATTAAAGTATAAACTAGAGTATATGACTGATAATTTCAGATATATTATACCAATAGAATAGTGCTGCTGAGACTTTTTGGTCAAGATTTCCTTCTGAACGAGATGTATGCCGTTTCAATATCAGCGTACAGCTGTTCTTCCACACAAAACCCAGAGGCTGTCTTGAGATGCAGCACTGGGACAAGTTCTCAATGCAAAGTCTACTGGACTGTATTTTAAGCCGCAATCAAGCTGCAAGCACCAGCTTGCAGCTTGAACCATTCACGATGACCATCCTAAGCTCCATTCCACGTTCATTAAAGATGTGTTTTTGATAGAGCACCCTTTATACCATTAAACATTTTAAAGGGCACCCCCAGTGGCAGATGTCCCTATGTGGCATTAAGGACGATATTGGTCGCGAAACCTACGTGTTAAACTGCGAACACTGGCCACGATGACCTTTTGACCCCAGGGTTGTGGTGCGCGGTGGCGGTGGGTACCGTGGGAGCGCAGCAGGGCCTCGGCGGTGAAGAGTGGCACCTGCAGCATGTCGGCCGTCTCCACAATCAGCAGGTCCTTGAGCTCCCGCAGCTCCTGCGCACGGAGGCCCTCGAACGGCTGTGGGGGACGAGCAGGCAAGGCAACGTTACCACCACGAGCGGTCGCGGCAGGCGGTGAGGCTAACTCATCACATTATCTGCACCTTCAGCAGATAATAGGACTTCAGACTATGGTCAGGGGACCGATATATGACCTCAGTGATGCTGCTGGCAAAAGGCGAGATACCAGCCTCCTTATGCTCATCTTAATCACGGAGATCTGCTGTAAGTTAGCACTCAATGCATCTTAACATCTGGGATTATCCACGGATAATTGCATGACAATGGAGCTCATTGTCTAGGCTAACAGGATAAAAGAATGATCATTCCTCTTATCTGCTTATCTGCGACAGTGCACCCCACTTCAGCGCAGATAAGAGGCGTTTGACCATATACATCCAGCACCTTGAGCGAGGTTGAGCTCAATCATGAAGAGCAGCCGTGCTGAAGAGAGAGGGGGCTGGGTGTACAAACCACGACAGGAAGAGGCAAACACGGAGGGCAGACGAGTCCACGTGGGCGAGGGTCGCTACCTCTCGACAACCGGAAGCGAGCGGCTCCTGGGGTTCGTCCCCATCCCCGTCAGGGTAATCCTGCGCCAGCACCATGCGTGACTCCAAGTGCAGCGCGACCTCGTAGTGCCGGTTTATTTCGGCACGGTCGCATGGGGTGGCACCGTCCTCGTTCTCCACGAACAGCGACGCTCCACGCACCACCAGCAACTGCGCAGCCACAGGAAAACGCAGCGCAGTCGGACAAGAGCCCACCGCGAACAGCACTCAGATAGAGGTAACCCACAGCGTACGACGCTCGTACTTACACACACAGAGAACAGCACTCACACGGATACAGCCACAAAGGAGAACGTTGCACCAATATCTACACAACCGCAAATGGGGAATTAATATCACAAAACCACACTGGGGAGAGCACAAACACAGACCCAGCCGGGGCATTCACCTCACAGCCACAGGGGGGAGAGTACCGGCTGAATAAAACCACACAAGGCACAGCAACGGTCCAAGAACTACACGCAGGAGTAAAGTCTGGGTAATGCAGCAAACAGTGTTGACAGGAAAGTAATGCATTAAGACAAATTCACTTCATTCAAACTAAAGTTTGTTCTTTTTGTAAACGTTAACTCAAGTACTTTGCAGGAATTTCAGTTTGAAATAGCAACATTGCAGATAGTCCAACAGACAAGGCCACATTTCATTAGGTTGACCTTTTGCGCATTGCAGCCAGGTCAGAGTCCCATATGCTACTGCAATCAAACACTCAATTGACTTCAGCATTAGTTCATTTATTCCTCGAATGAAAAATATGTATAGACGATAACCCACCAGTTTTACCATTTTAATCTTCTGTAATATTCATGCATACCACATACATAACACAGACAACCACAAACACACACACGTACACAAATACACACACACTTGCACACAAGCCAATTTGAGCAAAACAATGCAAGCACTCTATAAAAAAGGCAGCTGTGCAGGCCAGAATAGTACCTTCATGTCACTACTTGATGCATTCACAGAAGATTGGTTTAGTTTAGTAGATATTTGTGCTTTAGACATTTCAACTGAAGCTTACGAATTTGTCTTTGGCTGGCAAAGAATCTCCCACACGCTTGGAGGTGATGAAAGTCTTCAGCTTATGCAGTCATTCACTGATATTTTGTTGGTTCTTGTTGTGTCATAGGAAATTCCACTGCACCATAATCATCTTACTATGCCTTAGTATGGCACTCAGAATATACGGGGTGCTTCGCTCAAGCCCCAAGGCTCATAACCGTGACTTTATATTGGCTATTTAGGTCCCAGGGTTTATGACTGAAGCAAGTGATTATGATACAAACGAACCTTACATTTTAGCTAGTTTAGCCCTTGAGAAGAATTTAAAATATGCAACGCTTTATATTTTAACAAATAACACCTCGACGAATGCCACCCGAACACAGAGGTCCACATCTCAACAACAGATGCAACTGAACTGGCAGAGCACGGCCACGACTCATCTATCTGCAGCCACCAATTCAACTCTGCGCGAGCCACGGCCGATGCAGCCAGCAACCCCATTAACATCACCGCTAGGCACTTGGGGGCGGCTAATACTGACAAGATGAAGTAGAGCATTGGTCGGCCAGCCCACAGCAAACTGGTGGGCTGGGCATGTAACTGACAATCAAGTCAATTCGGTTTTTGATAATCCACAACAACGAGGCCTGCCCTGGAATCTGTCAGCAAACCTTCACCACTTTAAGTGGGCTCAGAGTGCATTAATTCTAGCTAAGGAGCTGCAGGGACATAGCCTCCACCTCGTCGTGGTCATTGGCGGCTGCAGCGTTTGTCAATGTGGAAAAACAAGTTGCCGTGAAATGCACATGCGATGATGGCACGCCCTCCGTTAGGTGCTATGTCCACTGTGACGAGACGGCTGTCAATAACAATTGAGATGCACTAGGTCACACGCTACGAGGTTTGTTTTATCAGAGGCAGATTATCTGTTGCCGTTGCAGCGCGGCGAGGCGAGGCGCGGTGTGGTGAGGCGAGGTGCGGCGTGGCGTGGCGTGGTGTGGCGTGGCGTGGCGTGGTGAGGCGCGGCGTGGTGAGGCGTGGTGAGGCGTGGCGAGGTGAGGCGTGGTGAGGTGAGGCGTGGTGAGGCGTGGCGAGGTGAGGCGAGGTGAGGCGTGGTGAGGTGAGGCGTGGTGAGGCGTGGCGAGGTGAGGCGTGGCGTGGTGAGGCGTGGCGTGGTGAGGCGTGGTGAGGCGTGGTGAGGCGAGGTGAGGCGTGGTGAGGCGTGGTGAGGCGTGGTGAGGCGTGGTGAGGCGTGGCGTGGTGAGGCGAGGTGAGGCGTGGTGAGGCGTGGTGAGGCGAGGTGAGGCGTGGTGAGGCGTGGTGAGGCGTGGCGTGGTGAGGCGAGGTGAGGCGTGGTGAGGCGTGGTGAGGCGAGGTGAGGCGTGGTGAGGCGTGGTGAAGGCGTGGTGAAGGCGAGGCGTGGCGTGGCGTGGTGAGGCGAGGTGAGGCGTGGTGAGGCGTGGCGAGGCGTGGTGAGGCACGGTGAGGCGTGGTGAGGCGTGGTGAGGTGAGGCGTGGTGAGGCGTGGTGAGGCGTGGTGAGGCGTGGTGAGGCGTGGTGAGGCGTGGCGTGGTGAGGCGTGGTGAGGCGTGGCGAGGCGTGGCGTGGCGTGGCGTGGTGAGGCCTGGTGAGGCACGGCGTGTCACGCCGCGCGTCGCACCTCCACGCAGCGCTTCATGCCGGAGCAGGCGGCGTAATGCAGCGGCGTGTTCCCGTGGTGGTCGCGTGCGTCGACTTTGGCGCGCTCGCGCTGCTGCGGGCCGAGCAGGGGCCCCTGCCAGTCGAGCAGCATGCGCAGACACAGCAGCCGGCGCTCCTCCTGCTGGCCCGAAGGCGGTACGATGAGCACCGCCAGCGGTGTGCAGGCGCAGTGCAGGGCCGTCTCCTCCAGGCCATTCCGCTTGTTGGGATTGCCTTCCTTCTCCCTCAAGAACACCCTGAAGGGAACACACAGACGCATACAAGCACGCACACACACGCACGGATTGTGCCCCAAGTCTGTTGAAGGCTACAAGGCAGACTGCCGTCCGAGTTGCGCATGGGCACGTGTGCGTGGTGCGTGCGTGGTGCGTGCGTGCGCTCACGAGAGCAGGCGGGGCATGGCATGCCGCGTGGCGTAGTGCATCGCCGTGTTGTTGTCGTAGGCCTCCCCGTAGGAGGCATTGGGGTCGAGCTGCTGGGCGAGCGGCACATTGGTGTAGTAGAGTTGCAGCGCCAGGCCCTCGTCGCCCGCCTGCAGCGCCTTGCGGAACTTGGTGGAGGCGCTCCCCATGGTGGTGGCGGCGCCGCCGTCGCTGCTCGCCGCTGCGCGTCCACGCGACTACGGAGCCCCGAGCCGGAGCATGGCGGCGCTGATCGAGCAGACCACGCAACAAAACGCCTGCGTCGCCACGGGGTCGCGCTGCGTCTCTCTTCCTCCACAGCGGTCACCACTCTCAATTATCCACGGTTGTGGGGAGACGGATGACTCAGGTGAAAGCAAAAATGCAATTAAAGTGAAACGTGCCGTTTGCCTACGTAGCATTGGGTGAAGAGACGCCGAAATCGTTATTCTACAAGGCAATGTAGGAAACAGGTTACGTATACAGTAAATCTTCATTACACACAGAAAAAAAATTCAACCATGTCACATTTTTCAAGCATTGTTAAACCCCCATGTTTACGGTTACTTTGGATGTGGCCACTGAGTCACTGACCCTCCAAGCAGCAGCTAATAATAGAATCAGCGAGTGAGAGTAGAGATATTTTATTTATTTCTTCACAACCACGGTTAATCTATAACCCAGATAACCTGCCCACATAAACAAGAGTTAACTTTAATTCCCTCCCGTGTGTTTATTCTCTTTTGGTTTATAAGACATGGAGTTGTATCACCAAATATTTATGTTATCTATACTCTTTGGTTCTTTCGGTAAAGTCACGTAGGTAGAAACAATAATAGATCACAACGTTTCCATCGCAACACAAGCAATCGTCATCAGGTGAGACAACTACAGCAAAAAGACTGCTGACCACTTCAGCAGTTTAAAAAAAAAAACGTGGAGTGCTGAAGTACTCAGAAGTTAAAAAAAACTGCTGACCACTTCAGCAGTTTTTTCTTGCTACAGTTGTCTCACCTGATGACGATTGCTTGTGTTGCGATCGAAACGTGGTGATCTATTATTATTTTTTCTACCTACGTGACTTTACCGAAAGAACCAAAGAGTATGGATTCCTGCAGTCACGAAAGCTTCAAATCAAGATTGTGTTATCTAGTTTCAGAACAAAGGCAAAGATTAAAGGCTATAGCATTTATATAACTACTCACGCACACAGACAGGAAAATGTTTGCAGATATTGATCCTCAATATCTGCAAACAGATCATGGTCATATGTGCTGATGCAAAACTAAAGAACAAATCGTATCACTGTACCTACCTTTCTATACGAGTCCATCTTCAGCTACGCTATTCACTCAATTCACGGAGTTTGCACTGTACAGAAGCCAGCAATGCTAAGCGCTTAAAAAAATATTATAAAAGCATTTTAAAAGAAAATAATAACATTGCAATGCATTATAATAATCCACACACACCACCGATGACACATCACAGAAACATGTGGAATGCAAGAAATAGGTAAAGCCGCATAAAATTTTAGTGACAAATTCACACTTTGCATTCTTGATCTGGCCACAATTCTAAGCAATCTATACTATCTGAATTATATTCTGGACTGTATTGCGACATTGGTGATTAATAGTTTCCACCTATTGGGAATTTAGGATGTGCAGACAATAGCAACTTGGGCAAAGCAATTACTTGTGATGATGGTGACTAGGGAATATATTACTGCCTCAATATATCAGGAGTCATCATTTGGCCTGTTCATATATATGTTCAAAAAAGACATTCGCCAGACATCTAAATTGAGAAAAACTGCCACCGGCTTTCCACGGAATGCACCATACTTGTTGCCAATTATATAGGATGAGGCTATTTCTGTTAAGAGTAATGACATAATTACGAGGTTGTCATGAATATTAGCAATGCATGAGTGCAGCTAAATCAGATAAAACACCCATCAATCTTGGGAGTGACAGTAAGCCAAGTTCATATCAATCCTGAAGTAAGAAGAAGAAAAAAATCCCTATGACCAATATGGCAAACAAGGAAGGCCTTCATTTAGCAGTAGATTTGCAATGACTGAAAATTATTACTATAATCCACAAATTATTCGTTCAAGATTGTATTTTTATCTTTCCTGCCTAACAGGGAAGGCAAAGCGGTCAATAGACTGGGTGGGCGTTAATGTGGAGGGCAAGGGAGTGTGGGGCTCTGTGGAGAGGTGATGTTGTCAGGGATCGAGACAAACACCCATGCTGACACCACCACAACAATGCGTGCAGCCATGAAAAGCTTCCTGCACTCCACACTGAGCAAGGGGCACTGCCAAAACGTTGTCCTGTGAATATTCTTCTGTTCAAAGCAGTCTCTGTGACCGAACCTAAAGGACAGGTTCTCGGGCGTACTCGAACGCAAGATATCAGCAGGCGCTCCATATTCCTACAAGCGCAGCATTAAAGCCCAAGGCACGAGAGGGACGGCTGTCTGCGAGAGAGGGGGGGGGGGCACCGTGGGGCGGGCCTTGCGATCGCACCAGGGTGGGATGCCAGCGAGCGTGGGGGACAAGGCGGCGCTGCCGATGTTGGTGAATTCGTTTGCATCAGCTGCGCCTCACGATGGTGGCTACTGCTTCCCTCGCTCCATCTGAGCAGGATGAAATGAAACAAAGGCAGAAAACCATTGGGACCACAAAAATGACTGTACTGTAATATTGCAATGTTACAACACAACTCTCCGAATGGCAACAAGAATTTCAGCAATATAGATGTGTGCATGAGAGTGCTTTATCAGTAAAATATTCTGTTGACAAATGGCAACTCAAAACAAGAGGCTCACATTTTTTTGACAAGAGTTTGCAAACGTCACGTGGGTTGAATGAGTAAACAACATCCAAGAGTCCCCTGTGACAAACAATGACATAATCACTTGTGATTAAAGTACTGTGGCATTGTGGCCAACTTTTTAGACGTAAATACCGCCTTCTTCTCAAGCTTGTCACCAGATAACAGGTTAAATATTTTTTTTTAAACTCATTGGATGAAAAGCCTTCTGGGAATGCTTCTGATCAACACCATTGGTTCAATGCAAGCAGACTCTGAACCGGTTCCGACAATCAGTGTCACATACACAGACAGGCTTGATTAAACCAATTGTAGTGAACTACCCGATGTTTGAAGACAAGGATCCTCCTTGTACATACATACTCGTAATCAAATGTAATACAATAAAATTAATTGGCCCTGTAGAGAATTACAATGGCAAAAATATGTAAATGTATTCATTCAGACAAAGTTTAGCTCCAGGGTGCACATAAACGAGCAGAATGAAGTTGTCTGTGCCATCTGCATCGCTACGAACGTGGCCCCCTGTCCCCACCAGAACAAGCATCGCTCTTCAGCACAAAAGTTAAAAACTAACTGCAGCAGGCGCACAATGTTCCCTCTACATCGTTTTTTTTTTAAATCACCCACAACATTACTCAAGTTGTCTGGGAGAAAAATATAAACTAGTCTGCAATATTCCAAGTCTTAAGATAAAATTTGGACCTAAATCGTAGTCAAATATGGATTAACCCTTGCACAACGTTTCATAAATACCATAAATCGTATTTTTCCTTAAAGACAACTTATGTCACGTAAAATTATCAGACAGCCAGGAAAAATTACATTATATATGTTATGATTATTTTGTGCAACACCATTCCATGTAATTTGCAATAAGGAAATTTTAATAAATTATCAGAATACAAATAAATCTCCAGATTGTAGGAAGACCCAACCCAGAACACACACAGCTCTTATCCTGCAGGTGCGTAACCCAGGTTGTGTGTCCCTGCTGTCTGACATGAGTTTCAAGCTTTATTAACGAAATAAAATACTTGAAAACGTGTCAGGACCTCTGCTACAGCACTTTAGTGACGTCACTGGTGGATCACTCCAATACAATTTAACACAGCAATACAGTGACGTCACTGGTGGATCACTCCAATACAACGTAACACAGCAATACAGTAACGTCACTGGTGGATCACTCCAATACAATTTAACATAGCAATACAGTGACGTCACTGGTGGATCACGCCAATACAATGTAACACAGCAATATAGTGACGTCACTGGTGGATCACTCCAATACAATTTAACACAGCAATACAGTGACGTCACTGGTGGATCACTCCAATACAATGTAACACAGCAATACACTGACGTCACTGGTGGATCACTCCAATACAATGTAACACAGCAATACGGTGACGTCACTGGTGGATCACTCCAATACAATTTAACACAGCAATACGGTGACGTCACTGGTGGATCACTCCAATACAATGTAACACAGCAATACGGTGACGTCACTGCTGGATCACTCCAATACAATTTAACACAGCAATACGGTGACGTCACTGGTGGATCACTCCAATACAATTTAACACAGAAATACAGTGACGTCACTGGTGGATCACTCCAATACAATGTAACACAGTAATACAGTGACGTCACTGGTGGATCACTCCAATACAATGTAACACAGCAATACGGTGATGTCAATAGAACGACGCCACGACAGATCGTAGGACCATGACTTTAGTGTTGTTGTTTTTTGCTTTAATAAACCTTCAAGCTCACATCGGACAGCCCAGGACACAGCCTAGGAGGTAACTACAGGTTAATGATTTTGTTTTATGGGTAATGTCATCCTTTAAGTAAAACTTTAGGCATCAAATTAATATATTTTTTCGTTGTGGAACAATCTGTTAAACATTGCACCTGTAATTGCTTGTGTTCAGTTGCACATTGCACAGTCAATATCTACAATGACGTCTTTACTTTTTATCTCATTAGTTACTGGTATGGGATTTGACATTCATGTAAATGCAACCAAATCCCCTGGAGGATTCGACCCAGTGAAAAATTTAGTTTGATATTTCCTGGCCTGGATGGCCCAAGGCCAAGATCTCTCCCAAACCAAGCAGGGGATCGGGGCTAGGAAGATAACCTGTTTAGCCTTTGAAATCCAAAAACTTATCAAGCCACTATTTCAAAAATAATTATGTTTTCTGCAATGAATGGGGATGGGCAAGGGTCACGAATAAGATAATTTGCAGGTAAGATAAGAGCTCTGTTTGTCACATCCCACTGTGATCCAAAAACAATAATTAACCATTGGTATCATTATGTTTATACAACCTTGTCTCATCACAGATTAATGTCACGAGTCCCATGGGCCCAAGGCTAAAGATCTTGTAAGACCCCAGCGTCTCACTGTACGGTTGTGATCTAACACCAGGGAAGAAACGCCAGGCAGAGACACCATCACAGGGAATAATTATTTTATGAAGCGGAGTGAGAGCCTCCCATGCCTGAGTGCCGTGGTTCAGTCATAGGTGGAGCCTCATCATTATTTATAGTGTTTACCGCACGGCTGGCTATGTAAACACAGCACTTAAGCATAACCAGCCAATTGCACCGTTCTGTGATGATGCAGAGCTCGCTGGAGAAAAAAAAACACGTAGAGTGAAAAATTAAAATCGATGTGGGGTGATGCAACCACTTTTATTTGTGGTGAACACAAGGGAGCTGCTGGAACCCCACCTCGACATCGCAAACTGGCACAGGTTTCTCCCACTGCTTTGATTTTTTCTTACGTCACCTTGTTTATGCTCATTGAACCTTACACACTTTCAATGAAACTCGATAATCATACATTTGTTGTAGTTTATTCGTGTATTTGAAGTGTGATTTGGGCTCATTTAAAACAATTTTGTGGACACTGTACATTGTCCAATTAATTTTAATGTGGCTCAATTTTATGCATGAAGAAAACGAAAAAAAATCCCAATTTCAGGCCCCTATACAATAATCAATGAGTGGTAAAATGCATATGTCAATACACTCAGAGCCTAATTTCTCACCGAATATTTTCTGGGTCACTAGTAGAGTGGAGCAGGCATGTGACTATAGCCACGGCTATAGTGAGAGTTCTACTGGATATCACGTGCGGAGTATGGAAATATATTCCTGTAGGTGACCCGAACAGACCCGGTTGAAACAATGCCCAGAATAGATTTTAACTGACTATTTCTCAATGTAATGGCATCAATCCACTGCTGGATAAAAGCCTCCCAAGACAGTATTGGTAAAAGCCTGGGTTATTTGCATCTCACAAATGGCATAACAACTTGGGCTGAGACCGAATGACGGCCTCGTGCATGCTCTCATGCCACTCTTGGCTTTTTACAGATAAATCCTTCTTGGTCGTAGTTTAGCAGGCACACATTAACAAATGCCCCCTCGGACCCCACGGACCCCACGGATCACGTGACCACTCCTTCACAGCACATGCGCCAATTTTCTGTCCACGCTAACTTGAGCTGTTGCAGCAACATTGCTTCGTGTATTATTACGCACTGAAGTTAAATGCCACTCATTGTTTATATATAGTGTAACCACTCAGTACATGGCTTACCTTGAAGCAATGAGTGTTCCCCAACTGTTTGAGACTGCAAATTAAACTGGACGCGACAAGCCTAGACTGGGGCAGCTGGTCCAACAACCTTCATTTCCCAGGTTGAGGAAGGGACACTTCCCAAAGCTGCATCTTTCATCGCACTCCTCAAAGATGTGCCTTCCACATGCACTCACAGTTGCACTTACTTCTAAAAAGTATGGGGCCAAAAAACACACACACACAGGTAGTGTTTAAATGTATTTTTTTTACATCAGTTGAAAACATATTTCAGTGATAACCCCACAAACATCTCTTCCTCCCACTGCTCTGCATGTGTGCCAACACCACCAATTTCACTTGCGAAGACAAAGGATTGAGCCTGAAACCTCATTGGATGGGTTTCCAACAAATGCCTTCTCAACATCATCCACTTAACCAAGACGAGGAACACCATGAAACACACGTGACATCATCCGCACATAATACAACAAACCCTACGGGATCTTTCTTGCCAGTATCAAAATATAACAATAGGCTTTACCCTACCTGGCAATAAAGCAGGTGTGTTAAGATGTTAAAACACCAAACAGAATCATTTTTCAAGGAAAGGGTAAAACCTATTGTTATACAACAAACCCTTTTTGCATGTACAAAATGAAGTATAGGCCAATGCGCATTCATTAGCGTAGGGTAATGAGTGACAGTGTGCACTCCACAAGGGGAAATGTTCCAGTGAAGAGCGTTTACAAAGAGCCCCATCTGCATGACAACTGCACTTTCTTATTCCACAGACCAGTCAATAACACTGCACCACACAGTTCAAGCAATGGTAGAAGGGACAATGATTCATTTTTCAAAATTGGTCATCTCAAAGTAAAAACGAACGTGGTTTAATGTAAGAAATCACTCGCTGCAAGTGGAAGTATCAATGGGTTTTGAGTTTGAGCTTATTTTATTTGTTGCACGGATAATCCTGTTTAGCCAGTTGCCCGGCAATTTTAGAAGGGAGCTGGGTGGTGTGTGAACACAGCGACAAGAAAAAAAACACATCAAATATTGCAGAGAACGAATACAGGGTCCTTCGAGAACATTGCACGAAAAAAGAGGCATTTAACAGACGTAAATTAAATACACACGAATCAAATAAACAGCGCAAATATAATCTGAGAGCAAGAAGTGCCAGAGCAAGTTAGGCACAGGTTCAAGTAAGCTGTATAGGGGGGCCTCACCTAGTTCTATAAAGCAAGTTACCTCCTGTAGGAGACAGCTCTACATGGTTATAAAGAGACAGTCCCAGCGTGTGGCTATCATCGTGAATCTTAAACTGCCATCAACGGGCTATATGAAGACAGTCCCTGTAGGCAACTAATGTCAGTGAAGCTTCACGTGGTTCTTTAAAGACAATCTCTCCTTGTACAACACAGTTGCTCTCAATACGGTCTCACCCTATTCTAAAAAGCCATTTAGCCCTCTACATGAGCCCAAGAATCTCAATGTGTTCCATCTGCTTCTCTCACCTCAAGGTAACTGCGCTTATCTCCTCCACAACAAGTGGAAGATTAAAAGCAGCCCACTATGACTGCGGAAGTTATACACCACACACTGGAATACATCATCAATCCGTACGCCTCCCGCTCATTCGGAGGTAACGAACTCATCCACAACCTCACCCCGGAGGCCCTGGATTGCCTAAAGAACTGTGACAGAAACCTTTGACAACTTCGTTGCTCCCTTACAAGAAATATAATATTCTGCAGCCAACCATACGACGGGAGACCTGCTTCTTTAAAGACGTTAACCGTATACATACGACACAATGAATCCCCAATGTCTAACATGGGTCTATAAACAGGTCCTTGCAGGGTGGGCTGGTAGGAACATTGGAATTTTTTTTTTACACCCAACAGCACGAGATTTCACTTCTTTAAAGTATTGAAAGGGGACGGACGGACGCATTAATCTATTGCAGGCTGGTACACTCAGTTTACAACTTCGTTCCTACCAGTAAGACATCAGCCCTATACATGAAGACACACTAAATATTGGCGCAGTTAACCTGGTTCAAGAGTGGAGGCAGTCACCCCATGTAGTCTTTATCATGAGTAGAGAATCTCAATGTGTCTCACCTGCTTCCAGAGTCACGCTCCAGAGACGAGACGGTGAATCTCAGCGCGACTGACCTGCTTCTATACAGTACAGTGTGTCTCCATAGCAGACAGTGACTCTAAATGTGGTCGCAACCGGCTCTACAACGACTATTGTTATACAGACAGCCATCCAGGGCGGCTCAATTGGTTCGATAGCGGACGCAGCCACCCGCTGTAGAAGAGACTCTCGATATGGACTCACCAGGATACATGGGTATATATTAGATATATAAAGGCAGTCGCTCCTTGGACATGAGACGGTTAACCTCAACGTGTCTCATCTGCTCCTATAAAGACAGTCACTCCCTGTACTGACGAGACAGTGAATCTCAACGTTCCTCGCCTGACTCTCGTCTCTCTCTGTAGAGGGTGAATCTCCCTCGAGAGTGAATGTGTCCCTGTAGAGAGTGTGAATGTGTCCCTGTAGAGAGTGGGAATGTGTCCCTGTAGAGAGAGTGAATGTGTCCCTGTAGAGAGAGTGAATGTGTCCCTGTAGAGAGAGTGAATGTGTCCCTGTAGAGAGTGTGAATGTGTCCCTGTAGAGAGAGTGAATGTGTCCCTGTAGAGAGAGTGAATGTGTCCCTGTAGAGAGAGTGAATGTGTCCCTGTAGAGAGTGTGAATGTGTCCCTGTAGAAAGTGGGAATGTGTCCCTGTAGAGAGTGAATGTGTCCCTGTAGAGAGTGAATGTGTCCCTGTAGAGAGAGTGAATGTGTCCCTGTAGAGAGTGTGAATGTGTCCCTGTAGAGAGAGTGAATGTGTCCCTGTAGAGAGACTGAATGTGTCCCTGTAGAGAGAGTGAATGTGTCCCTGTAGAGAGTGGGATGTGTCCCTGTAGAGAGAGTGAATGTGTCCCTGTAGAGAGTGAATGTGTCCCTGTAGAGAGTGTGAATGTGTCCCTGTAGAGAGTGGGATGTGTCCCTGTAGAGAGAGTGAATGTGTCCCTGTACAGAGTGTGAATGTGTCCCTGTAGAGAGAGTGAATGTGTCCCTGTAGAGAGTGTGAATATGTCCCTGTAGAGAGAGTGAATGCGTCCCTGTAGAGAGTGAATGTGTCCCTGTAGAGAGTGTGAATGTGTCCCTGTAGAGAGTGGGATGTGTCCCTGTAGAGAGAGTGAATGTGTCCCTGTAGAGAGTGTGAATGTGTCCCTGTAGAGTGTGAATGTGTCCCTGTAGAGAGTGTAAATGTGTCCCTGTAGACAGAGTGAATGTGTCCCTGTAGAGAGTGTGAATCTGTCCCTGTAGAGAGTGTGAATGTGTCCCTGTAGAGAGTGTGAATGTGTCCCTGTAGAGAGAGTGAATGTGTCCCTGTAGAGAGTGTGGATGTGTCCCTGTAGAGAGAGTGAATGTGTCCCTGTAGAGAGTGAATGTGTCCCTGTAGAGAGAGTGGATGTGTCCCTGTAGAGAGTGAATGTGTCCCTGTAGAGAGTGAATGTGTCCCTGTAGAGAGAGTGAATGTGTTCCTGTAGAGAGAGTGAATGTGTCCCTGTAGAGAGTGTGAATGTGTCCCTGTAGAGAGTGTGAATGTGTCCCTGTAGAGAGAGTGAATGTGTCCCTGTAGAGAGTGTGAATGTGTCCCTGTAGAGAGTGAATGTGTCCCTGTAGAGAGAGTGAATGTGTCCCTGTAAAGAGTGTGAATGTGTCCCTGTAGAGAGAGTGAATGTGTCCCTGTAGAGAGAGTGAATGTCCCTGTAGAGAGTGAATGTGTCCCTGTAGAGAGTGTGAATGTGTCCCTGTACAGAGTGTGAATGTGTCCCTGTAGAGAGAGTGAATGTGTCCCTGTAGAGAGTGTGAATGTGTCCCTGTAGAGAGAGTGAATGTGTCCCTGTAGAGAGTGAATGTGTCCCTGCAGAGAGTGTGAATGTGTCCCTGTAGAGAGAGTGAATGTGTCCCTGTATAGAGTGAATGTCTCTCTATGTAGAGACAGAGAGTAAATGTCTTTCTGTGTAAACAGAGTGACTGTATCTCTGTGTAGATAGACACAGAGTCTCTATGTAGACAGTGACTGTTTCTGTAGACAGACAGGCAGAGCGACTGTCTCTATGTAGACACAGACAGTGTGTCTACATGTAGACAGTGTGTGTCTATGTAGACAGAGTGTCTATCTACACAGACAGAGTGTCTATGTAGACAGTGTGTCTATGTAGACAAAGTGTCTATGTAGACAGAGTGTGTCTATCTACACAGACAGACAGTCTATGTAGACAGTGAGTGTCTATGTACACAGACAGACAGACAGAGTGTCTATGTAGACAGAGTGTGTCTATGTAGACAGTGAGTGTCTATGTAGACAGATAGACAGAGTGTTTCTATGTACACAAAGAGACGGACAGAGTGTCTATTTAGACAGTGAGTGTCTATGTAGACAGAGTGTCTATGTAGACAGAGTGTGTCTATGTACACAGATAGACGGGCAGTGTCTATCATAAAGTGTGTCTATGTACACAGAGTGTGTCTATGTGTGTCTATATGTGTCTATGTACACAGAGTGTCTATGTAGACAGTGAGTGTCTATGTAGACAGATAGACAGAGTGTTTCTATGTACACAGATAGAGTGTGTCTATGTACACAGACAGAGTGTCTATGTAGACCGTGTCTATGTACACAGAGTGTGTCTATGTACACAGACAGAGTGTGTCTATGCACACAGACAGACGGACAATGTCTATGTAGACAGAGTGTGTCTATGTACACAGACAGACAAAGTGTCTATGTAGACAGACAGAGTGTGTCTATGTACACAGACAGGCAGAGTGTGTCTATGTAGACAGACAGAGTGTGTCTATGTACACAGACAGTCAGAGTGTGTCTATGTAGACAGAGTGTCTATGTACACAGTGTATGTCTATGTACACAGACAGACGGACAGAGTGTCTATGTAGACAGAGTGTCTATGTACACAGTGTATGTCTATGTAGACAGTGTGTCTATGTAGACAGACAGACGGACATAGTGTCTATGTAGACAGAGTGTCTGTGTACACAGTGTATGTCTATGTACACAGACAGACGGACAGAGTGTCTATGTAGAGAGTGTGTCTATGTACACAGAGTGTCTATATGCACAGTGTGTCTATTTACATAGGTAGACAGAGTGTCTATGTACACAGTGTATGTCTATGTAGACAGACAGACGGACAGAGTGTCTATGTACACAGTGTATGTCTATGTACACAGACAGACGGACAGAGTGTCTATGTAGACAGTAAACGTCTATGTAGACAGTGTCTATGTAGACAGAGTGTCTATGTACACAGTGTATGTCTATGTAGACAGTGTCTATGTAGACAGTGTCTATGTACACAGTGTATGTCTATGTACACAGTGTATGTCTATGTAGACAGACAGACGGACAGAGTGTCTATGTAGACAGTGTATGTCTATGTAGACAGAGTATCTATGTAGACAGAGTGTCTATGTACACAGTGTATGTCTATGTACACAGACAGACGGACAGAGTGTCTATGTAGACAGTGTATGTCTATGTACAGTGTATGTCTATGTACACAGAGTGTCTATGTACACAGTGTATGTCTATGTAGACAGTGTGTCTATGTAGACAGTGTCTATGTACACAGTGTATGTCTATGTAGACAGTGAGTGTCTATGCACACAGTGTATGTCTATATACACAGACAGACGGACAGTGTGTCTATGTAGACAGAGTATGTCTATGTACACAGACAGACGGACAGAGTGTCTATGTACACAGTGTATGTCTATGTAGACAGACAGACGGACAGAGTGTCTATGTAGACAGAGTGTCTATGCAGACAGAGTGTCTATGTACACAGTGTATGTCTATGTAGACAGTGTCTATGTACACGGTGTATGTCTATGTACACGGTGTATGTCTATGTACACAGTGTATGTCTATGCACACAGACAGACGAACAGAGTCTATGTAGACAGAGTGTCTATGTACACAGTGTATGTCTATGTAGACAGTGTCTATGTAGACAGACAGACGGACAGAGTGTCTATGTAGACAGTGTCTATGTAGACAGAGTGTATGTCTATGTACACAGTGTATGTCTATGTAGACAGACAGACGGACAGAGTGTCTATGTACACAGAGTGTCTATGTAGACAGACAGACGGACAGAGTGTCTATGTAGACAGAGTGTCTATATAGACAGTGTATGTCTATGTAGACAGTGTCTATGTAGACAGACAGACGGACAGAGTGTCTATGTACACAGTGGATGTCTATGTACACAGTGTGTCTATATACACAGACAGACGGACAGAGTTTCTATGTAGACAGTGTCTATGTAGACAGTTTGTCTATGTACACAGACAGACGGACAGAGTTTCTATGTAGACAGTGTCTATGTAGACAGAGTGTATGTCTATGTACACAGTGTATATCTATGTAGACAGAGTGTTTATGTACACAGTGTATGTCTATGCAGACAGAGTGTCTATGTAGACAGTGTGTCTATGTACACAGTATGTTATGTAGACAGAGTGTCTATGTACACAGACAGGCGGACAGAGTGTATATGTACACAGACAGGCGGACAGAGTGTCTATGTAGACAGAGTGTATGTCTATGTAGACAGTGTCTATGTAGACAGACAGACGGACAGTGTCTATGTACACAGTGTATGTCTATGTACACAGTGTGTCTATGTACACAGAGAGACGGACAGAGTTTCTATGTAAACAGTGTATGTCTATGTACACAGTGTATGTCTAT